AGCTGCGGGCAGCCAGCAGGCAGCTCTGGGCTCGCCTCAACGCCAGCACCCAGCCCGGCGGGCACCGCTGAGCTGCTCCCAGCCCCACCACGGGCTCCAGGCCACCACGGGAAGGGGCAGCGAAGGGCAGGAGGGGGCAACAGGCAGCCTTACCTGCTCAGACCTGGCAGCATTGCCTCTCGGGGCACAGGGGCAATCCTGGCTCCCGCCCCAGGCTGCGAGAGAAAGGGACAGGGCTGTAAGGACCGGCACCCGCCTCTGTGACAGCCCTTCCTCTTAACAAGGCAGAAGGCACCCTCCAATTAGCCTTTTAATTACCTCTTACAATCAAAGTCTTAGAAAATCACCATGATAGATACATTCCCGGAGTGGCAGGCACTGCCAGCTGGCACAGCCCCATGCCTGCCTGGGCAGTTGCCCCCCCGTAATTAATTTCCCCCAAGATTACTATTTCATATAAAGCATTTGGCTGAAAAAAGGACTAAGAGTGAGCAGCTGGCTGGGCTGAGCAAGGCCTGCCACCCTACACTGCTCTGCCACCACCCCTGGTGCCAGGCTGGCTGTGGAGGCAGGGGCTGTGCCCAGCGTGGCAAGTGAAAGCGAGTGCTCCTGCCACAGGCACAGACACCAGGCCAACTGCCCCACAGCCTCGCACAGCTCTGCCCTCTCAATCACCCCTCAGGCTGTGCCAGGCCACCCTGGTGTCCCCAACAGGACTGGGGACATGAGCCTTGCCTCTAAAAGGGGCTGCAGGAGCTCTGGTGAAAGCCCTTCCCACTGTGCCACACAGAGCCTCAGCCGCAGAGCAGGCACACAGCAGACACGCCACCACCTCCCCCTGCTCTTCTTTTATCCTTCCTTTCTTTGGTTAAAAAAATAAAAGAGGGGGCAGCCCCCGGTGGGGCAGCTCCAGGCATTAAATACTCTGCTGTACATGAATAAAAGCCCAAAGGCCAGGGGCACCTGCCCCTCACAGTGCTGGGTCTGCAGTCCAGGTGGGCTGGGGGCTCTGCCCCCCTCTGCCCATCACAGCACATCCGCCCGCTTGTCCCGCACACGGCTCCGGGCTTTCGTGCGGGCTTTGAAGGCGGCCGAGTTGTAGAGGTGCTGGAAGGAGAGGGAAGAAGAGATGGGTTAGGGATGCTCCATCAGCGCCCACTAGATTCAATCAGTGGCACAGGAGGGGACTGTGGGCACAAATCTGGGAGGTGGAACACACCTTCTCGAAGCGGGAGACTTTGCTGGCTTTTAAAGCAGCTGCATCCAGCACCAAGGGGGGCCCGAGGCCGAAGATCTCCCGTAGCAGCTCGTTGTTCTGCAGAAGCAGGGGCATGTCAGCACCCACCAGCACCAGCCTGGCACTCCCTGGTGCCTCTGCCCAGCCCCTACCTGGAGGTGGTGGCGGATGCCAGAGCCCAGCACCTCTTTAAAGGCTTGGTAGGTCCGCTGGCGTGCCCAGCTGTCCAGGTACATGCACTCCAGGCCAAATCGGATGGTCTCCTCCTGGTACTCCCCACTCTGAACAGAGAGAGGGGCATCAGCAATAACCCAGGTACCAGCCCTACATGTCCCTGGCTCTCCATGGAGGGGAATCACCAGGCAGCTGGGCAGCAGCCATACAGCGAGGGGCTCGGCAGGGAAGGGCACCACCAGCCTCCAGCACCTCAATGAAACGCAGGATGTCCCGGAAGATGGATCGCTGCTTCCGTCGGTCTGTCTTGGCTCGGTACTTGTTGCTCTCAGTAGCCAGGACCTTGAGCTGGGCACACAAGAGCTCTGTATCTTGGTGGCACAAGTCCTCCTGCCAAAAAGCAGGGGATTTGGAGGGACGTGGCTCCAGGCACTGCCACCATGGCCATGACAGGGCAGGGGGATCGCCCAGGCCAGACCCTCTGCCTGGACACCTGCTGGTGACTCCAGTCAGTGCCAGCTCAGCCACGGCACGGGCAGGGTGCTGCTGCCTGCAGCTCCCTCCCACCTGGCTACTGCCCACCCACTGTTGTACCTCCAGGTCCTGGGCCAGCTCAAACACCAGTGCGATGGTTTCCCCGGCCAGGATGCGCAGGGCAACGCTGCTGCTGGACAGCAGTGGGGGCAGCTGCAGCCAGCGACTGGGACAGAGAGGCAGGAGGACAGTCAGGGACTCTCTACTCCACAGCTGGCTACCCCACACCAGTCTCCATCACCCCACACCCCACTCACTTGTCCAAAATGCTCCTGAGGTGGGAGGGGGGGCAGATGGTCAGGAGCAGGGACCATGACTGGAGCGCGCTGCAGTGCAGAGGCCCGTGCTGGGCAGGTGCTGAGCCTGCCTCACCTGTGCTGGGGGGGCTGAAGACCCCCTCCAAGCAGGACAGGCACGAAATCAGGTCCTGGAGGGGAGAAACTCACCAGTCAGACCACAGCTGACATGAAGATGCCATAGTGAGCTGTGCACTGGGGACTGAAGGGGACCCACCATGCCCAGGGGCACCAGGAACTCCCTGAGACAGGAGAGACTCCTCCACCCAGAACACCCCATCTCTGCAAGGCAGGCCTCCCCCCAGCTCAGCTCCACACTGCCCAGGGAAGGGGCCTGGGCTGTCACTGATGTCCCTGTACCCCTACCCCAGCTCAGCTCCAGGCTGCCCTGGCATCGTGGGCTGAGGGCAGGTGGCACAGCAGCCCCGGGTGCCCTCCTGCAG